GACGGGCGCCACATTCTTTCCTGGCATGGCATTTGCCAAAAACGCCGTCAAGCGAGACCGGAAAAAAGTCAGACATAAAAATAGGCTCAAAACTCAATAAACAAGAAAAAACGCACCAGTCAGACGATTGCAACCGGCGAATCACATCGTCGATCACCATATGCTATTAGTCATAAAGTGAAACCGTATGCAGTGCCACATATACATCCGTCTGCAGCAAATTTGAGAATAAGTGACAGTGCAGCTGTCGTACAAAAGTACTATTAAATTATTAATCATAATCTACATTGGCAACAACTGACTGACCATCGTTATTCTGTAATTAACAGGGTTCACTACTGATAAACGTCAATGTCCACGTCTGTCTCTTTCACAAGATTTGTCGAGACAAGCCTCCATATCACTAACCACTCTTTTAGTTCATCGTCCAATCTGAGCCGAGGTCTTCCAATTGGGAACAAGCAAAGGACTGAAGACCATTTTTCTCTGCTTTTCAGTTCTTTCGATCATGACAAATAGCGTGGCTCTCCATGTACTTCCATCGGTAACAATGAGAGACGTCGACGTATTTTCTGAGCGAACCCTTCAGTGTAAGATTCGAATGTGTCACTCATCATTCCGCGCAAAATATAACAGGTATAATCGCTGAGCTATCATGTGGCAGCTGTGAGTAAGATGCTTCTGTTTGATTCTTGAGAAATAGAGTTGGTCCTTGTCGACACTTGTCAGTCATCTTAGACAATGTCATCGGTCAAAAGAGCATAAAGATAACGGACGTGACGCTTGACTCGTTCAGTTTTCCTTGGTAGGTTCTGGCACAGTCACTGGTTTACCGACAGATTCTCTACATCAGAATCATGTACGTATAATAAGCCTGCGAAAGTAAGAATGTATCCATGGCACCGCAGTCTGTATAACAATATTGCAAAACTTTCTGCCAGTTATGGTTTGCGTACGGCTGACGGTAAATTGTGTATACTGTAATTACAGTGAGATGTACTGATATTATATGAGTACTATGAGTAATGTTTTGATAGCACACACTCAACAACACTGCGCTCAAATTGTAACTGTATTCTTCATAGAGAGTTAGGAATTTATTAACTATATAGCAATCACTAATAAAATATAACACGTGTAGATCAAATGGATGGGGCAGTGAATCGGAAAATTTACGCGAAACAAAAGAATAATAACTACATGATCGACAATTATAAATAGGAAGCGAACGACAACAGGTCGAAAATACCTAACGGTCGATAGGAAGTCGACATGAAAGAGAACCCTTGTGTCTACCTCCTAACAAGTCGCAAACATTCTTATGCATATTTAGATATTTATTGTGACAACAGCTTCTAACTTATTCCATTTTGTTATTAGTCCAACATCCCATTAACACATACTGTGATTAATGAGCCTGTAGTCATTAAACCACCTGACTATTAAATCATCCATTAGAAAAGGAACCATTTCCCACCTAGTGTCAGGCATACTGGCAAATATACGGCAACCTAAGCTGATCTCATGCTGAAGAATACGAAAGAGTATCATATTAAAATCTCGTGATTAAAATCTTTGTCTGCGGTAACAGTGAAAAGGTAAGGTCAAAATAAATAGATTTTGTAGCTTAAACTACTTCTTTTCGTAAAATTTTAAATCTCTTCATAAAACCGGAGAAACAGCAGAGTATAGGCCATACCTGCACATTTTTGTAGACCTTGCTTTTAAAAATAAGGCATTTCTGGTTGATGGCATAGAAACAGAGATCAGTCCCGCACCATGAATTTTATGAAAAGAAGGGCGTAAAAAGTCCTGCATCATGGAAACGAAGGAGAACCAACGTTCCAATAGTGACCAACTTTCTTTCTTTCATTCAAATCACTAAAAATCATACAAATTGTGTATCTACCTGCCGATCGCGTTTACCGTAGGAAGGTGCACTTATACGATCCACGTTGCAAATTTATTGTTTTTTCAATTATTTAATGACTTTTATTTGTTTTGTCGTAGCTTGTTGTTTTATTAACCTTTGCTCATACAAATAAGCTTCATTTTTCCAACTGTCGGGTTGATTTTCTAAACAACGGCGATGTAACCCCATCTCCCGGAAATGAGATTCACGCTCCCAACTCGCCCGGCAACTTAGAATCAAAAATCCGGCGGACCATCAGTCAACACTATAACAAGCAAGTTACGTCTTCTATACTGGGATATTACCATATCTTCTGTCCAAGGAAAGTTGGAAGATGGCTGCTGTACGGTAGGTCGGTACAAACTAAATGCCCTAGCGTCAAGGAACTTCACCTTCCTGTGAAGAGGGCACTTGACCTTCAGGATGGGTTGTATCTCCGGTACTTGGACCACAATTGACTGCGCCATGCAAGTGTGGATATCGTCTTGTCCTAAACGATAAATCGGGTGGTTTTTCCTGTGAAGCATGGTGATCTGTCGCGTAAATGTCAAACAGACGACGCTGAATATCAAGGTTGCCTATGCCTCGACAAATCTGTCGAGTGACAGCGACAGAAGCGCTTTCTTACAGTAAGCTATTAGCACTTTGCCGAGTGATAACGTCACAGTTATCACCTTTGCACGAATACAGCATCTGGCTAGGGGTACTCAGTCGACAAGGAATTGATACCATGAATGACAGCGGTGCGCTACTTACGTTTAATCGTTAGCGTGACCTCATTCCTCCATGGATAACCCTTGATGAAAGCCTGTTGCATTAATTAGACGACGTCCTCATCAACCGCAAATGGCGTTAGCTCGTTAACTGAGATCCCCGTTAGGAGTGACATCTGTACTGGGTCAGTCAGATCACCATATGGTCATAACGGGACTTCGTCGAAAATTAGCCGTGGCGCATCGACATTTGTGTCGTTGAACAATATCAGCTGTCCGATGTTGACGGTCTAAAATATAATGAAGTGGAGCGGTGAGTGGTGAACAGTATTTCAAGGATCACGACAGATGCTGGGTAGGCATAAACACAGAACTCGCTCCACACTTATCCACGACCTTAGACGCGTCGCACTGACAGATAAGAAGGAACACCTTAAGGGACGAGCCGAGCATTTTCAGGAGCTACTCAACAACTCTCCTTCAGATTTTTCCCCTTCCTACCTTTATTTTTTTACCAACACCAGAAGTTATCCTAGACCCCCTAGAAAATTAGAGATCCAAAATTCTTGATGCACTTCAAGGTGAAAAAGGCCTGCAGTGTAGATGAAATTCCCTTAAAGTTAACCTTAAAATGTACCTTAACCTTAAAATGTATGCCTCAAAAACAGATTCCCTGGAGAATTTAAGCGTGGGATAATTGCCCCCGTATTTAAAGAAGACGGGAAACCGAATACTCTAACTGTCGTTGTATCACGTTATTTTCTACTCCTATGAATCTGTTCTATTAGATTATCATGATAAGGTTAGGACAGGCATAAAGTACCGCAGGAATCATGCACGGTTCCGGATGGAGTACTCCTGCCCCAAGCAAATTTTCACTCAGAGTGGGATCAATGTGCAATGTCGACGATTCCAGTTGCCTTGGTTTGCCACTTATCTTTTCTTTAAAGCTGCATTTAAATCAGTACATAATCATACGATGTAAAGGATCTTCAAATTTTACGGGATACTTGAACACATCGTTTCCATCTTAAAATAGATATATGCAGGAACCACTGTCCGAGCTGTCAGCTTGTCAGTGGGTCCATATTAAACGCGCAGTTCTACCAGAGTAATGTGCTTTCGCTTTAGCTGTTCAACACAGTTCTCGACTTTCTTCTCCACAATAATGCTAACCCTCACAAATATGAAGGTTCCATTTTAGAGGGAAACCATAGTTCGAGATATTCAGTTTGATATCCTGCTGATCTGGAGACGATATTGTCCTGGTGAACCTTACACGGAGCGAGTTCTGTCATCTGAAGGCTTCCGTTTGCAACGCTGCTACAAAAGCCGGCGTCTATCTTAACGCCCGGAAGTCCAAAGATAAGAGGAACCTATCAGACACGACTGATCTGCCAATCGAACAGAGAAAGAAGCTATAGAAGTCGATCAATCTAATTATAATGGTCCAATAATCTCCCGCATGATTTAAACAGAATTAAATAGAAGAATCGTCCTGGCAACCAGTGTTTTTTGGTAACCTCTACAGATACCATGTAATAGATATTTGGGCTGAGAAATGAGTAGCCTTTTTCACTAAAATTTGCGTGCACCTTGCCTATTGACAGGTCAGAGTTATCGTACTGCGTGGAGACAGCTGTTCTATTGAACGACGGTTGAACTGCATGCAGCAACATTGGC